CCCCCCGTTTTAAAATATATATATATATATTTTTTTTTTTATATATATATATATATATATATATATATATATATATATATATATATATATATATATATATATATATATATTTTTTTTTTTTTTTTTTTTTACAATAATTGTTTAGAAATTGTATAAATGGATCTCTTCAAATTTAATGAAAAAAAAAAAAAAAAAAAAGTAGTTTAAATGCTTTACTAACCTGAATGCATGCATTACTGTACGTTCACACTGAAAGCGGCGAGAGCGTCAAAAATGCCAGAAGTCATTGATTTTCAATGAGAGCCGGTGACGATAAATGGCGAGGAGCAGCGTGGCACGTCTTCACCGGTGTGGACTTCGAGGACAGTTGAAATCAAGTCAACTTTATGTTAATGAACTATGATGCGGTTCGGCGGCAAGCAATCGGAATATAGAAGTCCACCGCTTGTCCAAAACAAGGTCACTGTGAACTTTGGTTCCGACTACAGTTGTTCCCCAGGGTTTGATTATTGTGGTCGCCAGATTTAATTATTTGCAATGTTTTCTTACAGGAACATACATTAAAAAAGTTACTGGTAAATTACTGATGCGCATGAATATATTTTTTATTCTTTAAAAAAAGCGGGAATCTCATGCGACAATACAAAACATTATTGCTGCTTCAGAAGATTTCAGATATATGGACACATTGAATAATTAAGTGGAGCAGAGCCACACTACATGCAACTTGATCTTCCATTGTTAAATGAATTTGATAAGAAGTGTGCAACATTTTCACTCTAGAAACATGTTTTATGTGGGAATGTAACTGATATAGTGCAACGCCCTCTTTAAATACGAGATCAATGTAGCGAATTCTGACGCTCTCGCCGCCGGAGCTGAAAGCAGACATTTTTGTTTCCAGTGCGACCAGAGTGACCTTAGATGCTTTCACCGCCTTCAGTGTGAACGCACAGTTATGGACCTACCAATTAGAAAGACCACTTTACATACTGGTCAACACTGGGATGTGAAAATAAGAGATATGCCTGCCGTAATACGGGATAACCCTTTTTAAAAATCCCCAAATTACTAAATATGTTCATTTGGAGCTGTTTCATTGTAAATAAACAGTTAAATGTTCAGTAATATATTTTATTATTATTATTTACAAAAGAAAAATAAATAGTATGCATTAGCAGCAAATAAATTCGCAAACAGTTCAGCTTATTAAAACAAGTAGCTGTGATAATGAAATAGAATCAAGCTATCAAATCTCATTAGCCGTTTCTTCACTGTGTAACTTACACATTCTGATTAAAGAGCAGCGAATCAATCTCGAAAATTTTGAATCTCAAAAATTTTTTTTTCGTTTGATTACATTAAATAACAGAGGTGTCACATTAAAAATGCACACATCTAACAATATAATGAAGGCATTCAATCGCTCCAAACTTTTTATGCTCATTTAGGACGAAATTAGTTGGCAACGTTGGCAAGATCGACATGTTTAGATATTATTATTATTTATTATGTGTATATGTCTGTTTAAACACGCACCCAAAACCCAGACTTTCGCTCCCCTTCAAATCGCGTGTACAGAATCTGTTTGGAAAACAGCATCTATTTATCACTATGGAGCACGTCAGCTGACAGTCACGCACCCCTATATGACCGTTTTGAGGATTGCTTATGAAGGGGCGACAGCACTTGTAATGAAAAGGAAGGGAATCGCGCCGTTTTTATATTTATTTCAAAGTGTTTTCATGTCCAAATAAAGCGAAAGCACAGAACAGACTCGCATTTAAGAGCAAGGGGCGGCCCCTGGTGGTTCGGCGGTATGGCAGTTGCATATAGGGAGGCTCGGCTCTTTAATATTTATTTGCCATCCTTCAGAGAAACACTGAAAATACGGGAATATACCTTTACAGAATGATAGCGGGATAGAACTGTAAAATAACAGGAGAATCCCGGGGAAAACGGGAAGGTTGACGGGCATGCTAGTTTATAAAAGTAAAAATGTTTCATATTTTACTATTCTAAACCACATTTATATTCAACTTACTATCTTTTTCGATTGACAAATTCTATCAAACCAGTTTCAAGTGTGCATATGTGTAATCTAATGCTAATTAGGCTTGTATTGAGCATTGTAAAGGTGTGACTGTAGTTTGACTGGTTTCTGCTGCATGTTTTAGGTGTTGTTGTCGTTCCAGTGATGTGTCTAATTGGCCATTTATTGTGTGTTAATAGATTTCTTCCTGCGGTGTTTCTCGATCTGGACTATCCCATCATCAATCACCTCCTCATACTCTGACTTTTCTCCAAAAAACTGCACCGGGACCATGTAAGTAGAACAGCTTTGACTCATTTAACATCCGCTTATGACAAATGACTGAGTGTAAATGTAAATGTGTGTTTTTCAATTATGCAGAGTTCTCTTTTTATTTGAATTGGGTATTTGAGTTTTTATGTCGATATGGTTCTGTTTCAGCATGGAGAGTTTCAGATATATTATGAATATTAATCTGTAATTCATTTGTAATTGTATTAAATGTTTTAGTCATTTTAGTAGTTTCTACTTTTTAGATTTTTTATATTTGTGTTAATTTGCTTTGTGTGGTGTTATTTTTGCATTGAGTTTTTTTCCTAATATTTTGATTTATTTTTATTGTCATATTTTACATAATTTTAGTTTTAGTTTTTTGTCATTTTTTTTTAAATCAGTTTTATCGAAAATGTAGTGTTATGATGTTTAAATCCATATTCATTCTTTTGCTGTTTTAGTATCCCTAAGATACAAAGAAGTTTACTGTAATATTTTTTCTTATTTTTTTATTTTACTAAATTTTAATTCTTATTGAATTTTCTATTTTTTATATACAATTGAGGTCAGAATTATTAGCCCTCCTTTTTATTTTTTCCTCTAATTTCTACTTAACGGAGAGCAGATTTTTTTTTTCAGCACATTTCTAAACATAATAGTTTTAATAACTCATTTTTAATAACTAATTTATTTTATCTTTACCATGATGACAGTAAATAATTTTTGAATAGAAACTCTTGAAGACACTTCTATACAGCTTAAAGTGACATTTAAAGGCTTAACTAGGTTAATTAGGTGAACTACGCAGGTTAGGGTAATTAGGCTGTAAGTTATTGTATAACGATTGTTCTGTAGACTATCGAAAAAAATATAGCTTAAAGGGGCTAATAATATTTATCTTAAAATGGTGTTTAAAAAATTTAAAACTGCTTTCATTCTAGCTGAAATAAAACAAATAAGACTTTCTCCAGAAGAAAAAATATTATCAGACATACTGTGAAAATTTCCTGAATCTGTTAAACATCATTTGATTATATTATTATTGATTTTATTATTATTATTGTTATTTATTATTATTATTATATTCATATTATATTATTATTATTGTTATTATATTAATATGATTATATTATTATTTATTAATATATTATGATTATATTGATATTATTATATTATTATTTATTATATTATTATTTTTATTATTATATTAGTATTATTTTATTGTCATTGTAATATTATTAGTATTTGTTATTATTATCATTGTTATTATTATATTATTATTATTATTATATTCATATTATATTATTATTATTATTATATAAATATTATTATATTATTATTTATTATTATTATATTATTCTCTCACACACACATACACACAAACTCACTCACTATATATATATAT